GTCCAGTTCACATAGTGCATGCATTATCCAAAGTCCTTGAGGCAGCAGTTCTTAAGGGAGCTACTATGTGCTTCTGGCTGGTTTCTTTTTTTTTTTTTTACAAATTTACACACAAGAAGACATGCAAAAGATTGATCCTGGCCCATTCCATGGAGTTTTCATAATGCTATATAATGACAGTAAGTCTTTAAGAGATAGATTATGTACAAAACACCATCAATAAACCTCACTATAAAGGGAAATGCCTTCATTAGTCATTCATCAGGACCTGTACCCAAATTCTGCCATATAAATTATACCTTGTCCTAAAAGCCACCAATAAAGAAGGAGGAAACTGACCAAGAAAACACAATCTTTTAAAACCTGACAGATCAAGGATGGGGACAATACAACTTTGCTCTTCAGATTGAACTAAATGTTAATGGAAACAACAGTATTTTCTTTTTTAATTTCTGTGAGACTCAAATAGACCATGAATGTTACATCTAGCTCCTAGAAGAATTGAATCATATCATATCCATATTTAACATAGCACGAAAGACTGTTAATGACATTTTAGTGTCCAGAAAATCTATGGCATTGATATAATTTTGTTTGCACCAGATTTTTTATTTTGTGGCTATAATTTTTTTCTGATGAGGAGTTTCTTCTAACAATGTAGGTTGGTACCTTCATTAAGAAGATTGCTCTTGGGCACTGAGAGGTGACTTGCCCAGAATCACACAGCCAGGATGTGTCAGAAGAGGACTCAAACCCAAGTGTTTCTGACTCCAAGGCCAGCTCTCTAGCCATTCAACCACTGCAATATTGCTCTATTGGGCTGGATGTGCAACTTGACTAAACAGCTTCTGTGGAAATTATCTATTAACCAAAATTGGGTAAAAGAATATTCAGGAACCAGTATGGTGAAATACCAATGAGCAATGATGACACACAGTCATAGTGTTGGAAAATAGTCATATTCAGTGAAATAGCCAATAGTAGTGAAACTTGTACAGAGGGGTTGACGCTTTTGGGAGAAAGATAACATGTAAACCATTGGGAGGATGGTTGGGAAAGGAGATGCATGGCTTGTACTCTCACAGACAAAAAAGCAAGGGAAAATTTCTAGAGCCATAATATCCTACTCAGGGACAACTTCTCCATTACCGGTTTTGAACAAGTTTGCCATATAAGTTAAGTGATGGGGAGCACATTCTAATGAAAAACAATAACAAACAATAAAACGTTAGACTTGGAGTCATTAGATGCAGGTTCAAATCCCATCTCTGATACTTACTAGTTATGTGATAACTTTGGGACTCTGAGCAAATTCCTTGACCTGAGTCTTCTCATATTTTATAAAATACACATAATGATGCTTGCATTGCTTTCTGAGGCAATGAAGAAAGCCTGTTGTAGCATGTAAGTGCTTATATAAATACCTGCCTTTATTATCAGATACTTGATGGATCTGTGATCTTGTCATTCAGGTACTCCCTTCAGTGGTGCTGATCACAACCCATCTGTGGCCAACCATTATTGTAAACAAAATGGGTTAATATGTACAGGGTTAATTGTAACTAGGTGTAAATATGGTACTCTAGCACTTGGTGAATACCCCTTATAATCCACTGAGTGTGAGAGCTGTAGAACAGGATTTGGCAAGCTACTCCTGAGGGCCAAATCCTGTCCACCCTCCCCCCTTTTTTTTGCATGTGCAAGTTAAAAATTTTTTATTCTTTTTTGAATTTTTAAATATGATAAACTTTATTTAAAAGTAAAAACCATTCTTAAGTTGTGGGTACATTTTAAAATAAAGTTTTATCATATTTAAAAATGTAAAAAAAATATTCTTAGCTCACAGACTTTGGGCCAGATTTAGCCCACAGGGTCTAGTTTGCCAATACCTGCTATAGAGCATCATGGTTTTTGTACTTTTTACAATGGAATCATAGATTAAGTTCTGTTCAATCTCTAGATCTAGAGGTCCTACTAAATTTTATAGATGAGAAAACATGGCCAGTGTGGTTAAGTGACTTGATCAAGTCAAATGTTTCTAAGTTATTGACTTTTTAGATATTGATACTGTGGCAAATGTAAAGAGCACTGGCCTTGCAGGCAGAAGACATGGGTTCCAGTCTCTGTGTCATTACATAGTATATGTTTGACCTTGAAGTCACTTTTTGTCCCTGAATCTTGGTTGCTTTTTTATTATTATTTTTAAAATTGAGGATAATAGCACTTCTTCTGCCTACCTTATAGGGTGATTAAGAAAATTGAATGAGATAATGTTATATGGAAGGTCTTGGGAAATTGTAAATAACTACCAATTTGATTGTTTAAATTTAGTACTCAGTGCTAAGAATTGACCCAACCATTCTAGAAAAAAATGATTGGGATTATGCCTTTAAAAAGTGATCGTAGTGTCTACATAATTATTTTGATCCAGAGACCTCACTGTTGAATGTATACTTCAAAAAGTTTAAAGACACAAAAATCATCAAGTAGGATAAAATATTAACTTAATCACTTTTTGAAGTAGCAAAGATTTGGGAACAAAGTAGATGCCTATCAATTGGGGAATGGCTAAACAAATTATGGTAATGTAATTGAATACTATTGTACCATAAGAAATAATGAATATGAATCAAAGATTGACAGCATTGATATAATTTAGTTTGGTTTTGATCAGACTTTTGATTTAATCATCATATAAGTTTTCTGGTGAGGAGTTTCCTCTTACAGTGTAGGTACGTACCTTCTCTACATCTTACAGTCTTAGAGGATTTACAAAGGATTACAACCTTAGAGGCATATCAAAGATTAGCAATAGCAAATTTTAAAAAAAGGACATAATGACCAACTGAGGTATTAACAGAAGAGGAGAATGCCCTCATATCTTTTTTTTTTTTAACTGTATGTGTCAGCTGAAAGAGTGTCAGCCCTGAAGTCAGGAAGACTCATCTTCCTGAATTCAAATCTGGCCTCAGACGCTAGCTGTGTGACCCAGGGAAAGTCACTTAATCCTGTTAGCTTTAGTTTCCTCATCTGTAAAATGAGCTGGAGAAGGAAGTGGCAAAACCACTCCAGTATCTTTACCAAGAAAATCCCAAATAGGGTCATGAAGAGTTGGACACTACTGAAAAAATTGAACAACAACAACATGTAGATGCTACTAAAACTATTCTCTGATAGTAATTTTAGGGAGGCTTACTATGTTCTGTATGTTGGGCCACTATTGGTGGCATAATTAGAGCAGTGATATTTTAAATGGATCTGTAGTGCCAAGGAGAAGAGTTCATAGGCCTTGTCTGTGTAAGTTAGATACTAGCAAAATGAAATTCAGTCAAGAAGGTTGTGTGTGTGTGAGCCTTGTACTATCATAGAGTGCTGGAATGGGAGACAGGTGATCTAATTTCTAGTCCTGGTTTGACTCTACTGTAATTGGTTGGGTTACCCTGGGTAGTATGTCCAATCTCTTTGGACCTCAGTTTTCTTCTTTATAAAATTAGAGAATGCATTATAAAAATTTCCAAGTCTTATTCCATGTCTAAAACCTACTGTATGATAGTCAATTAACATATAATAATATTGTTATTAATAATAATAACAACTAGCACTTACATAGCACTTTATGGATTACAAAGAATTTTTCAGAAATTAACTCATTTGATCTCAACAACAACTGTGTGAGGTAGGTGCTACTATTTTCCTATTTAATGGAGGATGAAACTGAGGAATGGAGGGTTAAAGTAATTTCCCAAAGATCCCGCAACTAGTAAGTTTTGGGGGCAGAATTTGAATTCAGATCTTCCTGACTCCAGGTCCTGAGCTCTTTTCATGGCAACATTTAGAGGCGTATTATGTGTCAGGTGCTGTGCTGAACACTGATCAGTTAAATCTTTTTCAGTGATATTAATTTTTAATCAACATTTAATATAATCAAATTTTAAAAGTGCTTGCTGCTAGTATAAAATGCTATAAGATTAAAACAAATGCAAGCTTCTATATTCTCTTTTGTCCTTTTGAGGTAGGTAATTTAGTTACCCCAATTCAAGTTTAGTGTTTATTTCTGCAAAAGTAATTCTGGGAAAATACTGTTTCTCAGAAAAAATCAAAAACAAAAACAAAAATAAAACTATTAATAGTAGAGATTCAGTATCATAACTTTTTCAAAAGAATGTCATGAAAATTATTTTACCATTAGTACAAGTCATTGGGATGTTTTCCCCACCTATGGAACTCTTCCATAAAGGCCTTGCTTCTTAGTGGAATTGTTAATTTCAGATGTGATTGATGAGGGCTAGATTAGAGGCAACTAGGAATTTAGTTCCCTAGGGAAATCAAATTATCATTCAGACTACCTCTGCCTCTGCTTGACAGCAATGCTTAATATATACCATTTGATGAACAAACTGAACCCTACTACAAAATTAAGCACACTGTCAACAATTATTTTTCAATAATCACTGTCCAACTAAATTAACATATCAGTCTTCACATTTCAATGTGTCATATTACATTTCTTTTGGCATTCAAATACAACTGGCAATACACTAATAAGATTACATTATTAAAACTGTCTTTAAAATGAAAGCAACATTAACCATGGCATAAAAATATCAACTTCCATCAACTTTAATACACAGATAGAATGAAGTCAAATTATTTTGACAATGTTTAATCAAAACTACCAATTTGGAAGAGGATTTTTCTTATCAAGCATTGCCTTCTCTTGAAAAGCCAAAGATCAACAAAGAGGGATTTGGGGGATCCAAAGACACGGATGAAAACTTTTTTTTTTTTACTATAAAATTCAAAACATACCAACAAACTAGTGTTTATATATTGCCTGGCTGAACTAGTAAAAAATAAATTGCTTTTGTTTGTTTTCCAATGTCCCAGATTTCCATTTTTAACAAAGTTAAGTCATCCCTTGGGGAATAGCACCTGTTGCTACCCAACCAATAGTATGCACTCCCCTATTAGAAAGGAAGATCTGGTTCAGTAACATGGAGTCATTGATTCACTGGCTGAAAAGTCCAAATACTAACACTCCTAATGATCAGCCATTCCTTTTGTGTTCTGGTGGCAAGTATTCTTATACAGTGAATATCAAATGGAACTTTGTGCTTCACATCTGCTATTTCAAAGTTTCCATTTTGGAATTCCCCTAGTCTCAAGTAAGTGGCACACTGTTTTCCCTTTTTGCTCCACCCTATATTTTCACCAACTTCCAGAGCTCCATGATGCAAGATGTCATTTTGTCGATCTTCTGTTCCAGTACTCACTTTAATTTTGCTGATATTGATGGGCTTTTCAAATACAATTACAAAATAATCTCCTACTGCAGGTGCCTTGGACCAAAAGTACTCATCAACACTGCTATATGCTTTGCTTGCATCATAATTTTCAAATACATTCATATTTGTGTATAGCTCTGCAGGTGGATTGTCAGGGATGTCAAATGAATCCTCTTCAAAGTCATCATCTTTTAATTTGTTCTCTGCTCCTTTGTATGAGGAATAATATCCTATATGCTGGAACAGAGAAGGTTTAAAACGCATCACATCCTTTTGAGCCAGGAGACTACGGAAATGAATCAATAGCCAATCACAAGGCATTTCCTGGTAAAACATTAACAAAAAATGTGCCAGTCGTGGGAGATCATGGGAATGGTAGAGTTTTCCAATGTAGCCAAGCTTGGAAAATTCCAGCGTCACCCAGTAAGAACCTTCTCGTGACGTGATCACTTTCTTAATGGCAGACAAGAAATTTTTTGAACATCGAACATCATCTTCTAACATTACATAATAGTCTGAAATGTTGGCACAAAAATTAAGGAGGAAAGCATAATCCACGTTCTGCTTGGATCGAAACTTGACTCGATCATTTGGATCATTATAATTTCTTTTAAGGCCATCCAGGATTGGGTAATATTCCTCAGGAGCATGTATGACCATCAATCGGCCAGCGATTATGTGGTGAGCAAATTTCTGTGTAATATCTCGTACCATACTGTCACACCAAGGTAAGTCAAAATCTGCAAGATGAACTACCACTGCAATTTCCTTCAGTTCTTCATAGCTGGATTGCTCAAATATAGACTTGATTGTTTCAAGCAAATAGTTTCCTTTTTTTCTTTTGACTGATGAAAGTCCAACTGTTAGGTACTCTGGGAAAAAGAATTCAGAAGGAAGATGAATTAGATGTTTTGAAAAACACATAACAATCAAGGTTGGCCCTTAGGGCTGCTACTAAAACAAGTAAGCTTAGTGAATGATGAAATATGGGACATTTTGTGATTAAATTATTAAGCTACATATGAAAAAGCTATTATGGATTATGTGTAATTGATTCTTTTCTGTGGAAAACAAATTGCATTATAAACATACTAATATATGTACTGTTGCTTTAAACATTTGTTTATAAAATAAAATAGGTGTAAAATGTTCTACAGCTTAATGCTCTCATATAAACGCATTAGAGAAGACACATAGATATTTAGATAATATAAAAAACTATTTAAAAAATGGAAAAGAGAAAGTCATTCAAAGTTATGTCTGACAAACTATCCCCAATTTATGCAAGTAGAAATTACAGATGAATCGTTTTTTAAATCATTTTGTGATTGATTATTTTAAAGGTTATTTTTGTAATAATTATTCTTAGAACACTTACAAGACATTTTCATTTGTGTTAAATGGTTTACACCACTTTCTGCTGGCACAAACCATGAACTGCTCAGTTTTCATACAAAATAAATTCAGTTTCTTGCATCCAAGTCAAAATTCTTTGGAGTATATTATATTATTCAAAATTTCCATTCCTATGAAAAATTTTAGCCTGTGGTTCCATGATATTGACATTAATGTGTTATCTATTGTGAACAAGAGTTATGTTCTGCTTTCCTGCAAATGAAACATTTTTTTTAATTGGATACAATCCAGAACCAGGGGCTCTTTACCCAGAGCAAGACTTGGATAGGATTTCAGGATGCGGACTGGGGAAGGTCTATTAAATTGGATAGGAAAGTAAACCAACAAACAACATGTATCTTTATTTTTATTTTTAGCCTCTACTCGAAATGTAAGCATTTCCTTCTATTATAATTAAAAAATTATTTTGAAAAGTGACTCATAGCTTTCACCAGACTGACAAAAAGGTCTATGATACAAACAATAAGTTAAAAACCCTTGATGTAGAGCTGAAAACATGACTGTATTTAATGAATGCACCTGGGAAATGGCATAATCCCACTAGAGGTTCATAGTACAGAGAAGATGACAATCCTCAATTTGGATAGACAAGAGAAAAGAAGGAAGATGATGGTAGAGATAATACAAAAAAAGGGGGAAGCAGTGAGAAGTCCAGAATTCTCCAGGAAAAATCTGAAATATCCCAAGAATAATAGTTGCTGCTGCTGCTGCTGCTACTACTACTACTACTACTACTACTACTCCTACTCCTACTCCTACTCCTACTACTACTACTACTACTACTACTACTACTATTACTACTATTACTACTACTACTACTGCAATACACACACACATACACACACACACATATACACATTACTTGCAAGGTTCTTCTAATTATAGATCTCTCAATGAAATAATATGAAATTGTTTGGAACAAGGTTTTCTTAACCAGTCTAAAAGAACTTGGTAAGTTCTCCAGGACAGAAGCCCATGCAAGGCAGAGCATGTATGTTGGCAAATGGCAGTTTTGTGTGGCTATTTTCTGAGTAATTTGGCCATTAGAATGAAACCCATGAGAAATATGTTCTGTGCATTGCCAAGTTGAGTCAAAAAACGTTAACATTAGATTCAGAAGTTAAGGAAAGTAAAGGCCCAGTTATTTTGTTTTCTTTTAAGCAACTTGCTGTTTATATTTCTTTCCAAGACAGACAGGTGACATACATATACTCAATATGTATTAGTGACACTGGTAGAAGAAAGAAATGAGGCTGGAAGAATATTTTCATCCTCTAGATATTATCAGAATGTATGAAGCATCCCTTAACATGATGGAAAACATGACCCAAAAAGAAAGATTAGAGAAAAAAAAATAGGCTAATGAAGCCAATTGAAAAACAAAACTAATACTGCAGGAATGGTTGTGGAAGGATATAACACAAAGGAAGGGAAGAATAATTATATAATGGCTAAAGCTATATAGTTGGTATGAGACTTTCTACATAGAGGGCAGATTCAGACATTAAATTTACTTCAGTTAAACTCCATTCAACCAGCAGGCTATTGAGGTTAAACAATAGACTACTTACTATCTCAAGGACCACATATTCTAATATGAGGCTAGACACATATACAAATAACCATAATGGAAATTAAAATATTAAAAAATGCAAAAGAACTATCTCACAAAAGTAAGATATTCTCTGGTTCAGTTTTAGTGGGGGAGATAGAAGACTAATGGTGATAATGCAGCATCTAAACTGGGCCTTGAAGGAAAACAAGCATTTCAATTATTGAACTTGTGGATAACTTCCATGCTATTCATGGACATACACAATGGCAGAAATGGGCAAGACATGATTACAGAATAACTGGTATTTCAGTTTGCCTGGACCATAGATTACATGAAGGAGAACATCATTAAGCATGGCCAGATAATGAGTAGATAAGAAGTTTGTATTTTATCTGTGAGACAGTGTGGAGTCACTAATCTCCTTTGAACAGGAGAATGATGGGTTTGAACCTGTATAATGGAAATATATTGGTGATAAGGTGAAAGATGAATTAGAGGAGGCAGATACTGAAGGCATGGGGACCAGTTAGGAAGCTACTACAAGATCAGAGGAGTGATGAGGGACTGAACTAGAGTTACAAAAGTGAAACTGGCAAGGAGGACATCTCTTTGAGTGTTTTAAAAGACAAGAATCAAATCAACATATGTTAGGAACTAAGTAGATGTGGAGGATGAGAGAGAAATAAGACTTAAAGATTGTTCCTCATGGGAAGAAAGCAGTAGATAGTAACTTGTTAGGAATCTAAAAAGGATCCTTAGGCACTAAGGAATTCCCTTTCTGGGCCCAGGAAGAAGAGTTCATTATTAACTCCCTGTTTGAGGGTGGGGAAGGGATTCTCCTAGATATGGGTAATGAGAAACAACATTTTTTTCTTGATGCATGTACCTAAGATATGATAGAAAGCTTTCTGATCCTTTCAAAGTTGAAGATTACTATCCACTTTGAAAGATTTTTATTGAAAAAAAAAAAAGGTCATACAGGTGTGTGTGTGTGTGTGTGTGTGTGTGTTTGTGTGAATGTGAATGTGTGGAACGGGACCTGGGGGGAAAATCACTAAGGATTATTGGATTTTGAACAAAAAGCTAAATCCATTATTGCCAGAGTGGCGCTTTTCTGTTACTCATAATTACTAGTTATTGAAGATTAGTTTAAGCATTCTTCCAGGTATTGTCTTCTGTCTGGGTTACTGTGACAATGCTTTTTCCTGGTTTTCTTGCTTCTTGTCTAATTACTCCTTCTTGGTCTCCTGTGCTAAAATATTATCTGTTTGCCACAACCCTCACCCCTTTATGGGTACATCCCAGAGTCCTCTTATCTTCTCTCTCTAATCTCTATGTGTGGTTTTCTTGTTTCCATGGGTTGGATTTAATTATCATCTCTGTAATGATGACTATATATTCCTCTCTCATGTCTCTCTTAAACTCTAGTCCTGAATTACCAATTGTAGGCCTCCACCAATATATTCTCTTGGCACATTAGATTTAATACTCCCTAAATGGAACTCATTATATGCTCTTTAAGTCCAAGATTCTTCTGATTTCTCCATTTCCCTTGAGATACTACCATTCATTAAGTTATCTAGGTTCATAACAATAGTTATACTTGACTCTTCCCTCATACTTCTTATTTCCCTATATTCAGTTAGCTTCCAGTGCTTGTCAATTCTATATACACAATGTATTTTATATATACAAGGCCCTTCTGTCCTCTTATATGGCCACCTTATGTTTAAATCATCATTATCTTTTGTCTAACCCAGGCTATCATAATAGTCTCCCAATTTTTCTACTTGCCTGTAGTCTTCTCAGTCTTCTATCCATTTTCCAAATAACAGCCAAATGGACTAGCAAGGGTCTGATTAGGACCTTCAAAAGTTCAAGAAGTTGTAGTGACTCCCTATTTCCATTAGGACAATATATAAAGTTCTCTGTTTTTTGGCATTTAAAGTTTTTCAGTTTCTAGCAGCATCTTGTCTTTCTAGATGGATTTATCTTTACTCTCTTCTACCAAATCTACATTCTAGTCAAATGGACCCACTTGTCATGTACGATAATTCATATCCCACATCCTTGTGTTTGTACCAATACTTCCTCATTCCTGAAAAGCTCTTGTACCTTGCCTCTCATTTTTGGAGTCCCCAATTTCTTTTAAGGCTCAGTTCAAGATCTTTTCTAATTCGTGGTTATAAGTACTACTTTCCCCATCCTATAGACTCACTGAGACAAATTTTTTTGAATTTATTTGGTATTTCTTTATCTGTGTACATATCCCTTTCCCTTTCACCATGAGAATATAATCTTGAGAATTGGGTAGCCTCAGAAACCAGCACATACTTTGTAAAGATTAAGTACTTAATTGATGCTTACTGAACTGAATTGAGTCAGCACAGTGTAGTGGATTTGGTGATACAGGATCTGGGTTTGATTCTACCCACTGGAATGTCCTAGCTTTGTGGCCACGACAAATTCACTTAATCTCCTTTAGTTCCAGTTTCTCACTGTGAAATGGGGATAATATTTATATTATCCCCCTCTCATAGTTATTGTGAGGATCAAATGAGATAATGTATGGAAAGTGCTTTGTAATTCAAGTGGAAGAAAATATCAATTAGTATTAAAAGGTAGTAAGTATGGGAAAAAAAGAATAATACAAATGAATAAGAAGATTGTGTTAAAACAACAGAACTTGTCTTCCTGGGACATCGACTTTTTGGTTAGGAATGTAACAAAGCTGAAAAGGATCAGTAAGAAAATATTCACCCTAAAACTTGATCACATTGTCCAAGAGGCTTTAAACTGAAAAGGGAGACAGAGAAAAATTCCTGGATAGAACGTCTCAGTCAGACGGCATGTAGAATTGACATAACATAGAAAGAAAAATGACAAACAAGGTCTCCAATATTTCATAAAGAAGAAGAGAAAATATATCCATATACCTCAAATATCCGTATACCAATAAACAGAATGTATGTCAAAAATAAAATGAGCTGAGATCTTAAGACAAGGGGACAAATATAATTTAAAGGTAACACTGAAACTTGGTCAAATGGGACGCCTAACTAGGAGATAGCAATGGAAGCATATACTTAGTTCAAAAGGAGTAAAGTAGAAGGGACAGGAACATAGCATTACACAAAGATATAGAAATTACCAAACTTGAGGAAGAAAACATACTAGCAATAATAATAATGGCTCATACATATTTAATACTGTATAGTTCACTTAGAGCATTTTCCTCATAAATGCTCTGTGTATTAGACAGCATAAGTATTATTACAGCTGTTGTACAAATGAGGAAGTTCAAGCTTTAGCTAACATGACTAGTTAATAGGAGAACTGAAATTCAAACCCAGGTTTTCTGATTCCTAGGTTGTCCTTCTTTCAGATAACTATACTATCTCTAACCTTGGTGGGAAAAATTTGTGTGTAGCTTGAAGGAAGGAAAACAAACTGAAATTACATTATTGTGGGAGTAGACTACATTCTACCCTGGACAGATGAAAGTAGTGATTGATGAATTACTGACTGATTGAAAATGCCACAGAGATATGATAGAACTGTCAGAGGAGAGTTGTGAGCCTCTTTTTAGCTACCAAAAATTTAAATTAATCCAAAAGAAGGTTTCTAAAGATTCTCAGCTTGACCGAATTCTGGACAATGTTTTAATCCAAAGAAGAATTTTAGAATAAATTCAAAGGTTTATCTTTTACACACACATACACATACACACACATACAAATACCAATCTACCTACATATATGAAGTTATCATACCTAGAGCATTTAAAGGTATGCGAAGTGTTTTATGTGTGTGTTTCACAGGATTTGACAATCCTTATGAAATAGGTGGATTATAGGGTTGAAGTAACTGAAGTTAAAAGGTGCCCAAGGTCACACAACTAAGTGTCTGAATCAGGATTCAAACAGGTTTTTCCTAACTGCAAGACTAGTGGTCTATCCACTATGCAATCTAGTTGTCTACATATCGATACAGAAGCCAAATAGGCTGTTGGTTAGAATAAAGATTGGTTTTAATCAATTTGACCACAGATTACAGAACTAGGCCCAGTGCTTGGAAGTCAGAAGACTTAGGAACAGAATAAGAAGGGATTTTATAGCAGTTGCAGCTATTTAAAAAAAATGGGTTGAACTAACTCATGAGATAGTGAGTACCCTGACACTGAGGCCTTTTGAGAATAGACTAGTTGAAGGGGCAGTTAAGTGACACAGTAGATAGAGCTCCAGCCTTGGAGTCAGGAGGACCTGAGTTTAAATCTGACCTCAGACACTTGAAACTTACTAGCTGTGAGATGCCAGTTAAGTCACTTGACCCCAATTGCCTCACCAAAAAAACAAAAAAAAAAAGAGGAATAGACCAGTTGATCGGTTGGTGGGGATGTTGTCATTAGAGGGAATGTAGTTGTTATTAGTAGATGACTTCTGAAGTTACCTCCACTTTTAAAGATTCTGTATTTTCTTTATTCTAATTGAGACCATGTGGAAATCTGCAATATATGAGTCTTTCTCAAGAAACATCTATAAAATGAAAAATTGGAGACTTCTAAAGTCTTTTCTACCTCCAATATCTGATAATTATACTTTTCACTTAAAAAAAATCGCATTCTCATGGTCAATCAGATAAGCACAATTTTTGAACTTTCATTTAATGAAATAATGAAAAGATAAAGATGGTAGTAAAGTTCATTGATCAACAGTTTTGCTTTTTTTAAGTAAAGGCTGACTTGGCAGCCACCTACATAGTTACAATATTGAGTTGTTAAAATTTCCTTGGCCGCAAATATCTCCCTTGGCAGCCTACCTGAGTTTCTCAAATTCCCATTAAGACATTTAGAACTTTGGGTTTGTGCAATGGATGTCCCTTTTGGAAAATAAATGTGTTACTAGCACATCAAACCATTATCCCTCATTAATACCTCAGAACAAATTCATTTATCAGATTAGCAAACCAGGCTCTGAGGGAACAGAGTACACAAAATGAATGTTTTTAGGAGAAAGAAGAGGTAGTGAAGATGAAAGTCTAAGATGGATGCTGGGGAAGAATGGTTTAAACAGGATACAAATATGGGGAAAATTTGAAGGTACTCATCACATAGAGCAAGGAGGGAGTTGAGAAGGCAGCAGCTATGAGTAGAAAGAGACAGGGTAGGATTCAACTAAAACGATATAACTTAACTGTGGGCTAGTACTAGCAATTTTAACTTCACAGAATATCTCAGAATATGAGAAAAAAAACAAAAATTATATGAAGATCCCTATATTGCTGAGAAGTTTTTTTAAAGCTCTCTATAATCATGTTTCTTAATGAACCTTTTATGTTTTGACTGTAACATATAGGCAAAGTGGACAGTAGAGAAAAAATATATATATATCCTTCATGATTTATGTATGTTCATCAACATCACAAAACAAATATATAAATACATGACACATTTTAAAAGTTTTTGTGACTTTCTACTCAAGCTATTTATCCGATACCTCTGAATTAAATTAAAAAATGAAAACTGAAATCAAGCAGTTGCTTTGTCTGCAATGTCAATCAATATTTGATTATTAAAAACTGACCACTCAGTTTTCCACTCAGGATATGTCAATAATTTTGGTGTGTAAAAAAATGTTTTAGGATTTTCCACTATTCTGAAGATAATGAAATAATATCTTAGATTTGTAAAACACTTAACTTTTTACAAAGCACTTTCACACTCTTATTAATGTAAGGATACTTACTTTTTCTTGGTAATGGAGTGCCAGCTAGATAGCGATAGGTGACATTTATGGCTCCTGAGAAATTAGATAAATCTTTAAAAGTGTGCACATAACGTTCTGAATTCAGTTGATGTGTGGATGTTTCTCTAATGAGCTGTTTGTCTCCCTTCTAAATGGCAAGAAAGAGGTAGAGGGTAAGAGTAATAGGTGCACATGGGTGAAAATTTCTCTCTTAAGCAACGAATAATGAAAGGTTGGGCTACGGGGTGTCATATACATTAAGGTTTTATCTTGGCACATATTACGTGCTCAGTGAATTTTGGTTGAATGAATCATAGGTCAAGCCTGTATATCCTTCTATCCTTCTAACTTCTAAACATTGTGGTAGATAGCTCATGCAATAGATGAATAGAAATTAGGTTTTTCTTTTCCATCTTGCTTAGTTGACTGTGCCTTCCAACTTTATTCTGGTTTATACCTGACTCTCAAATCAGAGACTTTTCTTTATGCCTATACTGGCATTACTAAAATAAGCAAGGCCTATTCATCATTCTCCTTCTACCTTACTGTGGAGCAATTTGGAAATATTTCTTATAACTATATATATATATATATATATATGTATATGCTGTTAAGAGTACTCTGTGGGACTGAACAGATCAATGTTGTGCTTCTAGTCTGATTTGGCTGTGGTTTCACAAACTTGACCTTAATATCTTTTAAAACTATTCTGAAAAAAAAAAAGAGAGGCTCATGGGATCATTAGACCATAGTTTGATAGTTGAATGGGATTTTGAGACTCAGCTTAATTTGATCTAAATCTTATTAAAGCTTTTGATAACCATGCCACAGCAAACTCAAAATGCTATATCCTCTTACCACAAACTCCAAGTTTTTTGGTTGGATGAAATTATTCTTAAATATTCATTTAAAATAGAGACAGTTTGGTATAGTGGATAAAGAACTTACCTTGAAGCCGGGGAGAGCTAGGTTTAACTTCTGCCTCTAAAACATACTGGTTATGAGACCCTAGGTAAGTAATTTGACCTTTTAGCACTCTGGACAGTTCTCTAATACTAAATTGTGGGGAAGGTGATGATCTGAATTCATAGAGGCATTTTCCTGACCTGAGTGTTACCTGTACAAAGAAAATCACAGGTCTAATCCCTCTACCTATCCTTAGAGTAGGGGACCATTGGAGGGGAACTGATGATAATTTCTACTATACAGAATTTCTTGCTTCCAATATTTGTTGTAATAAGTTTAATCTGTAATCTTTTTTTTAATGTAAAACTCTATTTGTGAACATACGTACACTCTTTGGTATTTTATTTCCCAATAAGGCATTTATCCTTATAGTTTTACAATATAGATAAGGAGTTTTCCATAATTCAAAAGGAATGCAATCAATATATTCCCCATTTAGATTGTGTAAATTTTCACCTAGTGATAATAATTGAATTTACAATGACACCAACTTATTTTGTGTGTGTGTGTGTGTGTGTGAGGCAATCGAGGTTAAGTGACTTGCCCAGGGTCACACAGCTAGTAAGTGTCAAGTGTCGATCGTATTTGAACTCAGGTCCTCCTGACTCCAAGGCTGGAGTTCTATCCACTGTGCCATCTATCTGCCCCCTTAATTTGTGTTTAAGGGCACACAAAGTCTATCCTATTTATATGTATAGGTTTGTGATTCCAGACACATAAAATGCTATGTAGACATTTGTAAATATGAATTAAGATTTTTAAAAATTATCAGATCAGGGCATTGAGGTTCTCTGTGTATTCAATCAGTCTCAGCATCAAATTCCTTGCTCTAATGCAATATTCTTCACCACTTGTAGATGCTGATAATCATCAGACTAATAATCCTCAACTCAATGACAATGCTCATCTTAAAGTTTATATGACTTTTTATAGGTATTATATTGAAGAGGAAAAAATAAGATATGGAGTGTAAATTCAAACAAATTTCTAAAAACTTAGGGTTTTTTCTATATTAAATACCACTACACAAAATAAAAGACATAACAAGGCATGAAATAAAACATATAAAAGCACTTTATTAAATTTCCTAACATTGTTTTCTTTACATATTTTTGTGAAAAATAAATAAAGCAGTAGTCAACTGAGTTATTTTATTTGGCTACCTTCAAAGCTCTATCAGGACTCTCCCTAAATAGTATTATCCTACAAATATTGTTTTACTCTGTGTATGTATGTGGGTATGTATGCATGTATGTATGTACTAAGATAAAGAACCAGCTAGAATATAAATGTAGGGTAAGGTAGGGGAATAAGTATTTCTATAGCTCCCACTTATGTGCCAAGTGCTTTTTTACAAAAATCTCATTTCGTTCTTACAACAATCCTATGAGGTAGGTGCTGTTACTATCCTTATTTTATAATTGAGTAAACTGAGGCTGAGGGAAGTTAAGTGATGTGCCAGAGTCATGCAGCCAGTAGTTGTAAGAATGTAGATTTGAACTCAGGTCTTGGTGACTCCAGACCCAGCATCCTATCTACTATGCCACCAGCTAGAACATAAATGCAGACTCTATACTAGGTGATCTTAACATTTTATCTATCTATCTATTTATTTATTTTTGTGTATCTCATGGACCCTTTGGCAGTCCAGTGAAGGGTTCAGATCCCTTCCTAGAACATTTTTTTTTTGGCTAGGCAATGGGGTTAAGTGACTTGCCCAGGGTCACACAGCTAGTAAGTGTTATGTGTCTGAGGCTGGATTTGAACTCAGGTCTTCCTGACTTCAGGGCCAGTGTTCTATCCACTGCACCACCTAGCTGCCCCTCTTCTTAGAATATTTTTAAAAGTATAAAACATATTGGATTATTAAGGAAGTTAAATATATTGAAATAGTTGTTAATATATAATTTATAAAGTTAATGGACCCCTGGTTAAGAATCTCAGAGACTTGAAGCTAAGCAAAGTTGATCAATCAACCTTTTCTTAAAAATGTTGCTTATGTTTCATTCAGAGACCATGCTAACATGTCCACTAACTCACACAAAAATGAAGCTGTTAAACGTGGTTTTAGACTTGTGGATATAGCCACCAAATGGCAGATAAGGTGAACTGGGCTGTGCTTGAAAATCTGGGAGTTTATGTAGAGTTTGTCTTTGAGGCTCATAATTCCTTTTCTGTAGAAGGAATTCAGTTGTCAAAGTAATCTCTTGATGATTCTCTGTTGCCCTTCATATAAAATGCATAGCTAAGGACTATTGTTTTTAACTCCACATTTTTTACTCTTGTATCCATACCCTCCTTTCCATTCCTGTCAACCTACTACCATCCTAATTCAAGATTTCATTACAATAGTGCAGTGCAGAGGTGTTAAACTCATTGCCTGGCAGGCAATCCCCTAATGAAACCAGAACCAGATTAAAATGTCATTGGGAAATATTTAACAAAAGGAAAAAATATATATAATAGAGCATAAATAATGTTAATATATAGTTTTCTAAATCAATGGTCTCCTACAGGAATACTTATCCATGGTGTAGTGTCCCCTGTTTATATTTGAGTTAGATAACACTGTTGTTTTTGGCAACTAACTAGTCTTCCGACCTCTAGTATTTTTCTGACCTCTTTTCTCCATTGGATCTTGAGTTAGAATATCTGGTGTCATACTGTAGCTCTGCCTACCACCCTTGGGCAGATCAATTAATCTCTACTGATTTTGATTCCTTGCACTATGAAATGGTGATAGTATTAAATATAGAGACAGGGATCAGGTCTGTGATTTCATAGGCATAGTGAACTTCCAGGTATGGATACTACTTGTACCAGTGCAGACTGGATACCTTCTTTGTAGCTTATATAGATAGTCTTAAAGAGTTATCCAGAATACAGAGTTTAAGTGGCTGCTCAGACACAAATAGCCATCATGTTCCAGAGGTAAGACTTGAATTCAGATCCTCCTGGCAGTAAGGTTGGCTTTATAGCCATTTTGCCAGATGGATGGTGATGCTCATTGTGGTAGTGATGATGTCATTAATAATATGTGCATTATCATTCACATAGGTTATTTTGGAGAAAAGTGTTATGTAAATTGGGAATCATTATCAAAATCAGAGATTCCCAAACTTATTTAGCCTACTGTCTCCTTTAAAAAAAATACTCCACTCCCCCGGAAATCTTTAACCCTTTAACTTTTTTTCTGAGTTTGTGTCATTTCAAAAAATACAAAATATTTTTAAATGATGCATCTTAAATTGAATAATTTATTGTAAATTTGTTATTTTTTCCCCCACATTAAAATTTTGATCTATTGCATCATGTAACCCTATAGTATCATATTATAAATAAGTCATTGCACACACAGAGTTCTGCTGATTCATGCTTGACTTCTCCACAATGCATGACATACTTGCCTGCCAACACTTACTCATTAAGACCTGGTGGCAGACTTGACCACTGTTCAGTTATAACTTGCATTTTTTTGTGTTTATTTGGAAAATAATGTAATCACTATGACATTAACTCTGTTACAACAACAGATTTTTTTTTCAAAATTTTCTTCTCTTCTTTCCTTATGCTCCCACTGCCCCCTTATGCCTCCAAATTGTACCTGAGGCTACTACTGCTGCCTCCATAATTTCAGTGCCTCCCCAGGGGGCAGTATGGCCCACTTTGGGAACCTCTGAATTCTAAATTAATTGGGCAAGCAAGCAGTGGATAGAGTGTTGGCCTTAAGTCAGGAAGATTCATCTTCCCAAGTTCAAATCTGGCCTCAGATACTTACTAGCAGTGAGACCCTTTGCAAGTCACTTAACCCTTTTTGCCTTTGTTTCCTCCTCTGTAAAATAAGTTATAGAAGGAAATGGCAAAATATTCCAGGATCTTTGCCAAGAAAATCCTAAATGAGGTCACAAAAAGTCAGACATGACTGAACAAAATTTACATAAACTATTATTACTTAAGCATTTCACCCTTACTCAGCAAACTTCTTAGCTGTTAATAAATAAAAACTTAGTAGCCTTGCATACAAAACTGGCCTTAGTCTTACTCTATTCTACCTGTCCAGCCTTAATACCATACTTCCCTCTTTTCATGGACCTGATGCTCTGTACTCCACACACATAGAGTACCTTTCCATTTCTATGACATTTTTATTCAGACTGCTCCCTTTGCCTTCAAACTATTCTT